GGTAAATCATAATTATACTGAAAAAATTAAAGATATAAAACGCCAAATTATTTCATGGTCCAAACGAACCTTAACTGTCCTCGGAAGAATAACTGTAGTCAAATCTTTGTTGGTGCCAAAATTGAACTATTTGTTGCTTTCACTCCCAGAACCGAATTCGCAAATTATGAAAGATATAAATCGTTCTTTGTATGCATTTATATGGGGTAACAAACCTGATAAAATCAATAGAGAACAAATGTGTCAACTGTATAATAAAGGTGGGGTTAAGATGATTGATATTTACATTCATGCTAAATCCCTGAAAATATCATGGATTAGAAGATTTGTAACTAATTCTCAGATAGAAAGTTTCACTTTTCACATGTTCAATTCATTCTTGCCCCAAACCTATTTTTTCACCTGTATATGGGCTCACATTATTTTAGAAAATTAGCAGACTTGACTCCAAATCCATTTTGGAAAGAGGTCCTTTTCGCTTGGTCAGACTTGGTCGAACTTCTTATTGACGACATTGCAAGTCAACCTCTCTGGAATAACCCCCACATTAAAATAAATGACAAAGTGGTATTTTGGGGGGCTTGGAATATACGAGGAATACGTTTAGTGAATGACATCCTAAAAATAGATGGTTCTTTTTGTTCATATTTTGAGTTTCAACGGAGATTTGACATACAAACAAATTTCCTCCAGTACTATGGTCTTTGTAATGCAATTCGGTCAGGTTTTAAAATGACTACACATGTAGCTCCTAGTAAGGCCTTAGCACCTATCATTCCCGAAGCCGTGCACCTTGTGGTGAAAACAAATGTTGGTTGTTCACATATTTATCAGTCTTTGCTAAAAAACAAAGTAAAAGAATGTAAAGCCCTTACAAAGTGGAAAAGTTTTTTAGATTTTCAAGATGTACTTTGGGGTTCGTACTGTCAAATTCCATTTCAGTCAACAATAGATATCAACATGAGGTGGTTTCAAATCAAGATTTTAAATAGAATATTATATATGAAGGACAGTTTGTTAAGATTTGGTGTAGTGGCTGACAAGAAGTGTACTTTTTGTAGTAACAATGATGAAACTATCATACATGTTTTTTGCTTTCGTAACTATTCTAATGAAGTATGGTCGAAGTTAGAGTTCTGGATATTTCGTTATACGGGGGAAAGGATCAAATTTACAAATCAAAATAAATTGTTTGGATTTTGCGGTAGCAATAATAATGCACTCAACTGTGTTCTGATGGTTGTAAGACAAGAAATATTTTCAGCTAAATTACGAAATCAACTATCATCATTTGATATAATTTTATCAGCTGTAAAACGTTATTATGAAATGGAAAAATATATATACCAAACAAATCTCAGAGAGAATAAACTAAAAAAGAAATGGTTTCACTTTAGAAAATATTTTGAGAGTGTTGGAAATGTGCTAACATAAACATGATCATGTATTTTATGTTTGGTATTTTCTAAAATTATTTATTAAAGTACTAATTTTGTCATAAATGTTTGTTTTTATCTGCCACAAAAGTTTTTGGCCGTGATGATTATTATCTGTGTCAAGCCATTATGTATGGAAATTATTTCTTTAATTATATGTATATTATATATGGATGTTCTGTATATGATGAAATTTGTTTTGAAAATAAAGAACCCTGTGGAAGGGGGAAAAAAAAATCAGAGATAACTTGATTGGGCGGTCTGTACCCAATATCAAGTAGTATTTGTTTATATGTACTATATATTTCGATGAAAAACATTTCAACAGTTTCATTAAGGAACAACCAAATCAGTTCTTTTTTTGATTAATTGCATTTTTTTAATAGAAACCTACACCGCCACCACGTTTACAATGCCTTCGTTGACCAAAAAAAGGCGTAACCGTTTAAATTCAGAGATTCTTTACCACTATTAGCCATGTTTCTGATAATGCAATAATAGAAACAGAATGGGAAACAGATGAGAGAGTATAAATATATATAATTTCTTAAGACGTCTGCAGTTAAAATGAAGTACAGACAGAGAAATGCTAAAGTTGCGAATGTTATTAACAACAACAACATTGTCATAATCTTGGGGAGTACATATAACGTGTGTCATTTAACGAAATCATTCTGTATTTCCGAAAGGTTATCGTATATTGGACCTGTGCAAATACTCATTGGACTTTCATTGCTGTTTCTAAGAATTTGCCTTTTACATACGACATAACAATTTTGTTAACTTGAAATAGTGATGAACATAAATTTTTTTTTCTTACATTAATCTTCAAATGGTGCTACATTTTCTGCTCGGTGCCAAACTTCGGAAAAGAATATTCTCACATTTTTTTTTACTTAGATGACATACATTTTATGTGTCATCATTTGTCAGTGTTGATAAAAATGAATGCTTTCCTGTAAATTATTTTCAAATGTTCACAGAGATTTACGATCAATATACAGGAATTATGAATATAATTGTGAGAGTTTTTGATTATATCATATTGAAATCGATACAACAATTAAATCATTATTTGCAAACTTACACAAGGAAAATCTGGTGGTGTTTTATTCTTCTATTTGAATTTTATAATTCATGAACTGAAGTTTAAGACAGTATTGAGTTCTGGTACTTAACAAAAAGAAAAACTTTACAGAATCGAACTAAACATACACATGATATACAGCTAACTGTTAAAGGTTAGACGTACAACATTAGCACCAATTGATTTTTTTTCAGTTAACAAAAATTGTGATATCGGCTTAAAAATTAGGAAACTCGTATATAGTCTAGCCCCACGTAAATGTCAAGCGGAAACGTCGAGCCACTCATCTTCTCCAAGCGCTATAATTCTCCTTAGAACTATATGCTAAGAAAGATAACAAACAGTCCTTTTCAGGACTACCACACCCCAAGAAAGATTACTGAGTCAGAGTCCTTTTCAGGACTCCTTAACACACTCTCTCTCTCTCTCTCTCTCTCTCACATGGTGCACCCGCAAATCTACTGAAAAATCTAATGCTATTCTTCTTACACCATAATGGTACAGTTTATCTATTTAAAAAGAATGATTTACAGTATCAAACGCTTTAGAGTAGTCTAAGAAGACACCAACTGTATGCATGCGTACATCTAAGGCACTGTATATCTTATCCACCAAAATTAATGTAGAATAGCATGAGTGGTAGTGTGTTTTAATGGAGAGAGAGAGAGAGAGAGAGAGAGATTCGAGAAAGAGAAAGAGGGATGAGGAAAGAAGAAAGAAAGGAGAGATAGGGAGAGGAAGGGATGGAAAGAGTGTGCAGAGGGAGAGAAAGCGGATAGAGGGGGAAATGTGGGTGAGAGAGAGAGAGAGAGAGGGGAGGAGAGAGGGAGCTTCACGATCTAACTAGCTACCATTTAAATGTATGTTGTGAATCGTGAAAGTCTTTAAGTTTATGAAGAAATGTTCATATCAACCTTGCGTGCATCTAAACATAGCTCAGTTTCCCTTTAAAAGCACAAGATAGGCAGATTAATATTTTCAAGACGAATTTTGCTTTTTAATTTGCTTTTTAATTTGCAACTATGTAAGTAAAGAGAGAAAGAGAGAGAGAGATGAAGAAAGAGAGAGAGAAAGAGAGAGAGAGGGAGAGGTGGGAGCAGATCAGAGAAGAGGTTTTTAGGGATGCCTTTTTTCTTCATTAATCTACCCTAAGTAGAATCAAAGCACACACACACCAATCCATTTTCCTCGCTCACACTATCGCCCACAGTACCTCATTCTCACCCATCCACATGCCCCCTCCCTCGCCCACATTTCACATACCTAACTCACATGGTTGCGTTGCCACATTAATAAATGCCCAACACCCTTTCCCATACCCATATACCTCATACCCACACGCACCTTCTTAATCCACCCACCCTCCCCCACCTCGCCCATCCTCACTTATCCCAACTTAAACCACTTTCACCTACTCTTACCAACGTACTTACCTAACACTAACCCACCCTACCCCCATCCCAAACTAACCCACACCTCTCTACTCCTCCCATACCCATGCACCTACCACTTACCCCACCCTTTTAACCCACACTCCTACTTTCACTCCACTCCCACTCGCCACACCCTTACCCATCCTAAACTAACCCACACCGTCCGGTTAGGCCTAATACACCCTACCCACACTCGCTAACCCCCATGTGACCCTAACCCTCTGGTGTTCCACCATACACCCCACATCGGTTCAAAATCCAGGAAACACATGCATCGAAAGCAAAACAAGGAACTTGTCGTTGTGTTCAATTTATTACAAAGGTGCCATACTACCATGCGAAATTTACCAATTTTATCAATAAAAATCTTACATAAATATATCATGTGAAATAAAGTGGTGCAAGCTCTATGTGCATACTTTAAAACAATACCCTGCATAAGCAGGTTAAATGATAAACAAAATTTAGGCTTACATAAACTATCGCGTTTTTTAATACTGTAGAAAACAATTCGACAATTTTTAATATTAAAACATCCGAACAATCTCTTTTAATAATAAATCACCATTCCTTAAAATATAGCTTCCATGCATCATATTTTTCACAAGATACAAACATGTACGTAATTCTTTATACTTAAAGAGGAGAATATTGTGCTTTGTAAATATTTGTGCGTGAACATATCATGTCAATCTGTTTAAATATTTATTTTCTTTAACTTCAACACCCGCTCACATAGTTTACGTTTTTATATTTGTTTGTTTGTTTTATTTATTCACTATGTAAAATAATTGTTTACAGATAATAAAATTCAGTGGTTACATTGAGATATAATACATAGTAGGAACAGTGCATAAACAATAAATGTTTGAAGCGCAACGTCCCTAAGATAACATAGTTGATAATTATTAGGTATAGATAGAACATGGTTTAAAATAAGACATTCTGACGTTACAAATATAAAACAAAATACAAAATCATGCCCCTTAATGTATTTGAATAACAAAAACAACGAAATACACATTACCTCTTTTTGACAAAACTAGCACTATAAAAAATGGACCTCAAAAGTTAACAAGCATATTTTGAGCATATTTTAATGCTAGCATTAACCAAATTTTTGCGACTACAAAGAACTGACGTAACTGATTGCTGTGGTATACATGAAGCAATCATCATCAGAAACACAATACAAAATCAGATGTGTACTCATCAACAATAATGACAGCCCATGAGACCAACAAAACAAAAATGCATACGTATATATCTTAATTCGATGTACAGACTAGTGATGGGGGGTGTTTCACAAAGATCCTATGTTGAAATTATCTCTAAGTTGGACTTAACAATTATGGAAAGCTGTTAGCATCATTGACAATATTTTGTAAACATTATTTCAAAAGGCATAAAATGTTGATTCAAATCATTCATATTTTCTATTATCTTGTGAGATTTCATGTCCTTGATCTGGAATTTATGAAAAGTCTAAAATACTTTAGAATTTTTGCTTTTGAATATATTTAATTATAAGGTTACAAATGGCTCTCCATAATTTTTAAGTCCAACTTAGAGTTAAATTCAACTTAGAATCTTTGTGAAACACTCCCCTTTTAACGTAGGGTTCATCTGTCATACTGTGTGAATAAAAATGCGAGAGACAAGGTGATCGAGTATTGCCTATCTTCCTTTCCCTTGTGTACATTCGATGGGGAAGGGAAGGGGTGTACCCGCTGTATACGTCATTCAAATACACGTACTGAAACCAGGACTCTAATAGCAACAATTAAAAGTAGTCAATAGAGCTTTGTATTTTTTCGCGAAGATGCTTTCAATTTCAAAACAATAAATCGTTAGCTTTTCCGGTCTCTCATAACCAAAAGTGAGACATTTCCTCATCATTGACAAAGATTGTGTGAAGATGAGAATATTTTCCTCATCACCGTAAATTAGCTCTTCTGTCTTACACGTGATACATTAAAAGACTCGTTTTGCAGCATACTATGTACAATGCTTTAGTCATTCTCATGAAGTTGATCAGAGCATATTGATCAAAGCATCTGGAACCAAGAGCTCTTAGCGGAGCTCACAGTCCTTTTTAGGGTTTCTATTCTTCGGATAGTATTACATGGTGTAACCCTCAAAACTTACCTACGCTATATACAATATGTTTAAAGTCAATCAAGCGAATTTTTTTTTGTGTGGATGCAAAAACATCAATTCCATTTACAATGCACTCCGAATATTATACCAAGGGAAATACATGTATTTTGGCGTTAAAATACATCTCTATGAAGAAAAACTCTTCTATGCAACGGTACCCAAGATGGTCAAAGGGGATTAAGGATGTTAAAAGATCCTGAAGGACTAATAACACCATGACGGACTAAAGAGGGTTTTTGTTATCATAAAGTGACGGGCCACCAATTTTCTCAATGTAGACTCAACGATTTAGTGCACATAGTTGGTTAGAAGTACCTCCTTACGTTCTTTCCCATTCTATGCATATCTATACACATGTTTGAAACAGTCACTATCCATTTTTTTCATAGTCCACATGATAATAGATAACATCATTTTAGTCCTTAAGAGGAAGATGTAATATTTTGAGAAGATCCTTTTTTTCTCAATTGGCTCTGTTTCTAAAAAGAAGTAAATCTCGGTGGAAAATCCTATAGATTATTATAAAGATACGAACTTAATCTTCTTAAGGGCAATTTAAAATATTCTTCTTCTAATATCTTTTTAAAAATCTTGGCCATTTGGGAGAATATTATTGTATCACGATGCTCCATGGAAATTATCTAGCGATAAATTTCTTTTGTAATTGTCCTTCTATAAGTTCAGGGGAAAAAATCGGAAAGAGTTTCGAGAAAACTACTCAAGGGCAATTTCAATACGTTATTATACATACATATCTCATGGGAATCGTGTTAGGATTACGTAATACATGGTTGTAATGTTTGCAGATGGACAAGGTAACGGGTCATTTCTCGAAAGTCTGTGGGATCGTGCTGAGTCCTTCTTACTCTCCTTCAATAATCATTATTATAATCACTCACAATCATCATATATGGGGTCATGTTGGGTCAAGGGTGAGGGGTCAATTCTATCTGGAAATCCAAGCCTCCCAGACTTAGGTTTGCGACCAATGGGCGGCTTTATGGGAGTTTTATACTTGCGACTTGGACCTTCCTGTTCACTGCCCTTCGTAAACGACAAATCTGTGTAAACCCGGTCTCCTCCAATGGCGTTTTCTGGTACCTTCAAGTTCATGTATTGCAGTTCACCTGGAGCTTCCTTTCCAAGGGTCTCTGTGGACTTCCTAGAATGTGAGGCGAGATTCAGATACGCTAATGCTGCTTTAGGAGAACCTGTTCCCTTTGAAGTAGGCTGTTCACTCAAGTCATTAACCGTCATCCTCTCCAGTTTTCTAAGTCGATGGCACCCATAGAGGCCTAACAGCAGGAACAGTGCATACGACGCCGCCAAGATTGCTCCAAGTACTATTGAGACAGGTGAGAGTGTTCGACTGTTCTCAGTGTTGAGTGACACTGAGTTAACAGTCGGACACTGACAGACATGTTCTGTATGTCCCAATGAGGTTGTTGGGTTAAATTTGGTCGTCGATATCAGAGCACCCGCAAGAGAGAGTGTTCGACTGTCCCCAGCGGATGATTCTGAGTTAACAGTCGTACTTTGAGAGACATGTTCTGTATGTCCCAATGGGGTTGGTGGGTTAAATTTGGTCGTCGATATCAGAGCACCTGCAAGAAGAAAAAAAGACATGAAATATCGCTTCAATATATTACATTATTAAAGTCCTTATGGGCTTTTCGTTAACAATCCTACGAAATGATTTTCTTAATCTCAAATGTATGGATGTGAGCGCGAGTTGCAAGAGGGGTATTCCTCCCTTCGGGTGGTCATTTATTAGAGATCCTATAAATAATCACTATTCCTGATTAGATTATTCATCATTCAGTACCCTAATGGCTACTGTAAACAAAAATCCAGAGAAGTTCCGATAATAACACATTCGTAAAGACTTTCGAAAAATCAACATACCCCTGTTATTGATCTTTTGTAAAGCATGTGTGAACATAACAATGACGTATGCCCTTATTCAAACACGAATTGATTGATATGAGGAAGACCACAATCCAATTCATGATATGAATAGTTTTAACATTGCAATACTTATGTTTCTATGTTCTAAAGGTCTCATACCCAGGTTAGTCATGTCTAAGGTTTTTTTTTTCTTAATTAAAAAATACATTAAAATATACTCGTAATTCATGTAACTCAAGTGAGAACTTTGATTCCCATAACACAATAATTTATAAAGGTCCTTCTTTATGGAGCAATCTCGCTTTTGCATTACAAATCAGCCCATCTCTTAATTCTTTTAAACGCCGTTTTGAATCCCATCTTTCAAGTTTGTATTCGTAAAGTGAAATGTTATATATTGCATGTTTGTTTCTTTGTATTATTTTGTCGTTTGTTTGTTATAATTATGTGTGTATTCTTGATTTGGGGGTTCAACGTACTAAACGGCTATTTACTCTTCTTTTTTGTACCCCTCTTTCTCATAATTGTTTTGTTGGTCTAATTACTCTGTACTGATTTCTATTGGACCTTTTATTTGATTAATCTGTTGTGTATATACATGTATTTTATGTACGTTGTTTTTATTGAGAATGAAATAAAGACTGGACTGAACTGAATTCAACAGAGCAATCACCTGCATGTTTGCACGTTACTCCGACATCCTGACTATGTCGACAGCTGTTCGCTTCAAAATATGTGAAGGTACAGTCAGTCAGGCTGTTCTCTGATCCAAGACAGGAGATACCTTCCAGAAAGACACTCCCAACTCCTTCACCGAATGCTGCTTTATGTAGCACGTCTGAAGCATCCGTGAACCCCAGCATTCTACAGACCACGTCAGCCTCTCTCAAGCCCCATCCAACACCACACAATGTCCCCCAGGATGTGTTGTAGAACATCTCAACCCGTCCTTCATTCCTGCTTCTTCCATCGACAAGACGAACTTCAAAATGCTCAATCGTCGTGTCTTCTGAAAAGCAGATCGTTTGAATAGATTAGCAAAACGTGATGGGAGACATACATGGGGAAGTGTCATGTCTCTCACGTTACTGTGTATTTTGGAAATGTGTTATGGAATTGGGAACATTATATTTGTTGTTTTATGTGATTCAGGGTTGGCTATCAGCGTAATAAAGTCAACCAGATGTACTGACATATTAAATGAAGTAGGTGCCGTATACAGCAACAACAACTACAACAATATCACCGACTTTAATAGTGATAATATCAATAATGATGACAATGATGATGATGATAACAATACTAATACTTATACGTGTAACAGTAATAACTTTATTGTTGTTAAAATACATAAAATATTCACGAATCAAAGAGACCATCATTGGGACTACAAATCAAAGAATATCAATCTGCGTCCCAGAAAAAAACGAAACCGGGAATTATCGATGGTTATCATAACTTAATCACAATTATAATTAATAAATGACACATATTTGGAAGGCTAAGTTCCTCCTCTTTCATGTAATGCAACTCATATGATGGATATTTCACGCCTGATTGATTAAAATGAATTTGAAAAGAGGAAACCATAAAATCATTTGGCGGACGTTATCTAAATTTTAAAAAGAAAATCACATTTCTAGAAAGTTGAGTTTTTGCCCTTTTTATATGACACCTCAAGCAGGAAAAAATGAGCAAGGAATAACAAAGTTCTGTTTGTTTAAAGTAGTGCTTGCATTTCCGAAACCTTATCAAACGAAATCATTTTCAATGGCTGCCTGCCGTAGCAACAAGCAGAATTGACAAAAGACTTAACTCTGTTTCGTTGACATTCAGCCATGCATGAAGTATTTCGTCTACTGCTGATTGTCAACGAAACATAGTTAAGTCTTTTGTCAATTCCGTTTGTTGCTACGGCAGGCAGCCAGTGAAAACGAATTCGTTTAATCAAATTATGGAAATGCAAGCACTACATTAAACAAACAGAACTTTGTCATTCCTTGCTTGAGGTGTCATATGAAAAGGCAGAAACTCAACTTTCTAGAAATGTGATTTTCTCTTTGAAATTCACATACCGTCCGCCAAATGACTGTTTGGTTTCCTCTCTTCAAATCGGTTTTAATCACTCATGTGTGAAATATGGATTATATGAGTTGCATCAAAGGAATGCCGCTTTCTGTTCATTCTCCTGGTTTAGACTGATAAGTGGAAGACATAAGCTTCATTGTGTCTCTATTATCTGCTAGTGAAATATTACTTTTACAAAATAGTATTTATTTAAACAGAAAATACCAATAGAGCACACTGCAGCGGCATCTTCTGTATGGTCACAGTTGTGAACTCCGAAGTCGCTATGAGAGCATTCTGCCAAGTTGTTTTCTGTTCCAACACATGCGACATCATCAAGGAGAATGGTGCCAGAACCTTGGCCGTAGGCGGCGCTTCGACGTGGTACACTCCATGCCCCGTTATACCCAAGCATTCTACAGACAACCTTGGCATCATTCGAATCCCAGTTGTCATCACAGATTGTACCCCAGGAGCCTTCGTATAGCACCTCAACTCGGCCTTCTCTGGAGTTTGGGCCATCTACGAGACGAACTTCAAGAGGAGGACTCTCTGGTAGTCGGACTTTCAGAGCAAATAGAAGATAAAGTTGATACAAGTTCAGAATTTCATATCATAAATGCTATAGATATGACAGAATTTCGGGAGGTCAGAAATTGTTTTAGTGTATGCTGAGTAAACTTAAGCATATAACCATTTTAGAAACGTATATAATCTTTAAATGGAAGAAAAAATATATGTATTTGATATCAATTGAACCATTAATAAATATAATTTAAATCATAGAGACTTTAAAGGGATAGTTGAATTCTGTTTTCAGACCGCAAATGCCTTCAAAGTGCATGGTTATTGCTCTTATTCTTATCTATGACATTTCTAGTAATTTTAGACCCCAAAATATATGAAATTTAGCCAATACAATATTACCAATTCAGCTCCACTTTTAAAAAAAAATGCGGTGACTGTTAATTAATTATTTAATTAAAAATAACAATACATGGGCCGGCTGGTTGTGTGTAATATAACCAACACGAAAATGCCAACAAAAAAGCCAACATCAGCATTGGCTGACATACGACGAAAATGGCGCGATTTCGTTTTTTCAACGGCATTTTCAAATTATCTAATATTTGTGGTGGTACACAAGTATTAGAAATCGTTATATTTATGAATATTTCAGCCGTCTCTGAACCGATTTTGTTCAAACAAAGATGATTTTGTCATTTAAATTGTATGTTTTTTTGGAACTCAGTTTTTCATTATCTCACAAAAAAATTATTTTGAGAAGCGCCCTCTGCAACAGAAATCAACTATCCCTTTAAGAGAACACATCACCATTATTGACATAAGAGGTAAGATAATTTGTGCGAAACGAAGTATAGTATTGAATAAGATTAGAATAGTCAAACGTCATAGATAGATTTCAAACATCAATTGGGTCAGTAAATTGTGATGTTGACATAGTTTTCTCTCCCTTTGGAAACTACTATAGCACATTATTATATGTTCTCTTAAAGAAAGCGGTCCTGAGTAGTATATTTGGATAAAAATACATTTCAAACAAAAGGGAAAATTGTCCGGCACTACGTCACAGTGATATTTATTTAGCGATTCGGTCAAATTGAGGTACAGTCATTACAACTTCAAACAATTCAATTTTAACTTTCACCAGTCTGCATGCTTCTCTGATTTTCCTGCTTTCTTTTAGGGGAGCTATCTATTAAGTTTGGATTTTCTTATAATACGTCCTCTCTTTAACGAGTGGGGTCCATAAGTTTTGAATTTTGAACTTTAATCCCATTGTGGCTGTACTTTCCTAGAACAGTAAGCAAATATTAATCGATTACGAGGGTAATGGTGCAAACTATCATCACCGAGGCGATGATAATTTGTATCCATTGCCCGAGTAAAGGAGGTTAATATTTGTTTTATATCCTACATCGGCAATAAGGTCTATTTAAAGTGAATTTTACATAATAATAAGAACTGATTCTGCAGACAAGTTAGCTTCAGCTAGATTTTACAAAGCGCAACATGCATACATGTAATACAGTCGATGCGCGCTCATTTGACATTGACATTGACTTTGACATTTCGCGTAACCTATTCAATGGGCAAGGGCGGGCAAGTGGGGTAGCAGCAAAAAATTACTTTACAAAAGTACTATCTCAGGTAGATCTATATTTTATCATGTGACCTCGTTTAGACCAATCAGATTGCAAGATTCTTAGTATGCGGGATATCATAGATATTATCCAGGAAGATGCTGCCTGAGCCTTCACCATATTTTGCATAGCCAGTGTAAGTATGCGTATATCTCACCATTAGCGCAGACAGCACCATCGTCTTCGCTATGTCCACAATTATGCCCCTCGCCCCTATGAATCTCATATCCATTGTGGGGGCATTCAGATAATGATTGGTATACCGTTTTCAGAACACATAACGCCCGCATCCTCGTTATGTTGACAATCATGAATTCCAAACTGCTGGGGACATGATTAAGGAATAAATTGCCTTTGCCTTCGCCATATTTTGCATAACAAGTATGAGACTAAATATAATATCTCACCATTAGCGCAGACAGCACCAGCGTCTTCGTTATGTTCACAATCATGATTCTCATATCCACTGTGGGAGCATTCAGCAAGGTTGCGTTCTGTCCCAAGGCAACCGACATTATCAAGAATGATGCTCCCAGAACCTTGACCGTATCCAGCATCCGTGACTGCTCTCACTGCGGTCTGATAGCCAAGCATTCTGCATACAACTATGGCGTCTCTCAAGTCCCAGATGTCATCGCAAACTGTTCCCCAAGAACCTTCAAAGAACACCTCAACGCGACCTCCGTAGGCGGTTCGTCCACCAACTAGACGAACTTGTAGATCTGGATCTAATTTTTTGGTTTAATCCAAAAATGATGGGCGGGAGTTGTAGGTATTAAAGATTATCATACTAATTGTAATCCATTACTTCATTTGTTATCATCCCCTGATATTTCTGCATGTCTATACATTACATGAGTGAGGAAGGTCGCCATCCTTAAGAACTTAGCCGGTCATTCACCAAAAATTGATGTTGTATCCATACAACCTCCTCGTCACAAATTAACATGATCAAATTGTTTATAAATAGGCCTCAATGTGACGGTTAGAGCTCACCAATAACTATATCAACTATAATGATTAATCGCTCCCGAATCGCTCCCCCTTCGTTTATGAGTAAACAGTAAATGTTTCGAGTCCCACTTTGACACCCACATCCTTTGCCACCAGGCGCGCCGGAAGCAGTTTGGGATTAGGGGAGGGGGGCAAACATTCCAGGGGGCTCACCTTTCAGGGGCAGTGGCGTAATGAGCAAAAACGTTTGGGGGCAGAAGAAAAATCTGCATCACCACCACTCTTACATGTTACATGCAGACCCCGCGAAACGTTTTTCAAAGTTTTTTGTTTAAAAAGGAGCTGTGTTGTTCAGTGGGGGTTGTTTACACCAACTAGGTTGTTTAAAGAAAGTTGTTTAAAAAGGATCTGTTGTTCAATGGGGGTTGTTTACAACAAAAGGGTTGTATAATGGGGTATAATTTGGGTTTGATACTCTGAATAAGTGCATTACTACTTCTGGGTCTCTATATAGGTATATGAAGACTAACAATATGGTAGGGTAATTCTGCAATTTGTGAATTTGCGCCAAAACAGTGCCCATTTTGCATGAGCGCGCATGCACGCACGTATAAACTGCATATATAGGGATGCATGCAATCTCTATGGCAAGGAATTTAACACACGTTATAACCGAGTGAGTGCGCGATCAGTGCCGTTTTGCATGACGCGACGATTTTAAAGAGAAGGTTGAGTTCTGGGAAGAGGTGAAAAATAATTTGTAAGCATTACTCATTTTTATTATGCAAGTGTGGAAGAACATCAGTTAAGACATGTTCCCTGAAAAGCATGGCTCTTCAAATGCCTTCATATTCTAAATATGCATGTAACATCGTAAAAATCGGGGGGCCGGCTTTTTACGCCACGTGTTCGTGTAGTCCCATATACAGCTTTCTGTGCAAGTGTTTGTAACTTTACCAAGACTTGGCCAAATTTCTTATCATTTTGATGATTCCAGAACCTTGCAATACACACAAATTCTTAGGGTGCGTTCAATCGAATTTTCGAAGCTAGAATCACAAACATGAATCACAATTCAAAACGCCGTTACAAAAAGCAAGGTCACTGCGGTTTGCGTTCAAGCGATTTTTCATCAACGCTGATTCTAGCTCATTGCGAGCCAAACCACTGCGCATCACACTGCGCAGTATGGCCCAGGAACTTCGGCGCGCGCTTTCTGGAATTGTTTACGGCCGACTGTCGACTGCTGTTTTGAGCATAGATCGCAATAATAAGACAAAGAATGAGAAGGTGATAGAAGGAAGAAACAAAGAATAACATAAGGAAAGACAGAAAGATAAAGTCGATAGAATGATTAAAACAAAGAATAACATAAGAGAAGGTGAAAGAAGGAAGGAACAAAGAATGACATAAGGAAGAACAGAAAGAGAAAGTGATAGAATGATTAAAACAAAGAATAACATAAGAGAAGGTGAAAGAAGGAAGAATCAAAGAATAACATAAGGAAAGATAGAAAGAGAAAGTAACAAAATGATTAAAACAAAGAATAACATAAGAGAAAGTGATAGAATTATAAAAACAAAGAATAACATAAGAGAAGATGATAGAAGGAAGAAACAAAAAATAACATAAGGAAAGACAGAAAGGGAAATTGATAGAATCCTTAAAACAAAGAATAACATAAGTATAGAAGGAAGAAACAAAGAATAACATAAGGAAAGACAGAAAGAGCAAATGATAGAATGATAAAAACAAGGAATTACATAAAAGATGATAGAAGGAAGAAACAAAAAATAACATAAGGAAAGACAGAAAGGGAAATTGATAGAATGCTTAAAACAAAGAATAACATAAGTATAGAAGGAAGAAACAAAGAATAACATAAGGAAAGACAGAAAGAGCAAATGATAGAATGATAAAAACAAAGAATTACATAAAAGGTGATAGAAGGAAAAAACAAAGCATAACATAAAAATAGAAGGAAGAAACATAGAATAACATAAGGAAAGACAGAAAGAGAATGTGAAAAAAAGGAAGGAACAAAGAATGACATAAGGAAGAACAGAAAGAGAAAGTGATAGAATGATTAAAACAAAGAATAACATAAGAGAAGGTGAAAGAAGGAAGAACCAAAGAATAACATAAGGAAAGATAGAAAGAGAAAGTAACAGAATGATTAAAACAAAGAATAACATAAGAGAAGGTGAAAGAAGGAAGAACCAAAGAATAACATAAGGAAAGATAGAAAGAGAAAGTAACAGAATGATTAAAACAAAGAATAACATAAGAGAAAGTGATAGAATTATAAAAACAAAGAATAACATAAGAGAAGATGATAGAAGGAAGAAACAAAGAATAACATAAGGAAAGACAGAAAGAGAAATTGATAGAATGCTTAAAACAAAGAATTACATAAGAAAAGGTGATAGAAGGAAGAAACAAAGAATAACATAAGGAAAGACAGAAAGAGCAAATGATAGAATGATAAAAACAAAGAATAACATAAGAAAAGGTGACAGAAGGAAAAAAAAAAGAATAACATAAGAATAGAAGGAAGAAACAAAGAATAACATAAGGAAAGACAGAAAGAGAAAATGATAGAAGGAAAAACAAGGAATAACATAACGGAACAGGCCACGATGGTATAGTGAACGCAAATTGCATGCAAAGCGGGCGCGCGGTTTTTCCCAAACCGGAAGAGGCTTCGTCATACAATCATGATTGAGAACTCCGTCCGTTCAATCGAATTTTAGCGACCGTGATTCTTTTGAATCATGATACAAAACGCATCTTTTTCAGCGTTTCATGTTTGTGTTTTCAAACACGTTTATTTTTACGACCGACGAAAAAATCGCTTGAACGCATTGCGTTTTAAACTAAACGTCTTTAGAAACCGTGATTCTAGGGTGAAAAAGTGTCGATTAAACGCACCCTAATATGCTTTCTGGTCGGTTCCACACCGTTTCTTTCACAATGCAATCGCATGACCAGAACTCAACTTCATCTTTAAGTCTACCTATATTCTGACATTTGCGTACAGATACTGAAAATTTTAACTGTGAACTTACGCTATAAGTTAAAAACTTGGTTAATAGAAAAGTGATTTCAATTCAGCCATTGAATCCCCAGTCACTTAGAAGCGCGTCGGTAGCTTGGTCGGCCATGATGTGAAATAAAGCTTTTAGCCAACATGCACTTTACTGGCACGTGACACATGACGTCATATGTAAACAACACTGTCTAAAAGCTCTCGTATAGCAAATATAGCAGTCATGAAATTTTATACAGCGAATGTTTAACAAAATTACTTTCGCTTCGAGCAACATATATATATGCTATATATAGCTATATATTAGTGCCCTTTTGTGAGGCATTAATCCTCATAACTGTCAATTATGACTTAAGGACGTAGGTCCCTTAGTTGATTAGCATAGTAGCACACATATGATTAAGCAGTCACGCAAAAAATTATCTAGATGTATTAGAAATAAATAATTTTTTAAAATCCTTCCCTAAACTGGGGTAAAATAAATATTCCACCATTATGACCAACAGTGTATAACCAAAAAAATGAGAAAAAATCCCGGAGAATCATGTCATTTCAGCAATATTTGTAAATCACTGGTATGGAATTAAAATAAACCACGTTTGAATTTTATGTGGGGGCAACTGCCGTTTGAATTTCATTTTGGGGCAACTGCCCCCCAAGCCCCCCCCCCTCCTCCATCAGTACGGCAATGTTCAGGGGCTCATGTCTTCTCACCCCTATAATAATTTTTAAAAAAAGCTTTCTCATCTTCTCACAATATTTCCACGATATGCGCTATTGCTATCATAAAATCCTCCATTGATAAATATAGGGGCATTCGGAATTTTTAAGAAATTTAATTCTTGTTTATTCACCTTATCTTTTAATTGAATATAATTGTTATGTGATTTAATTCCGATTTGATTCCTTTTTATTTTCTTTTTGGCTGAAAAATACGAATCATTTTTACTCCTTTACTGTAATTTTTTTTTTTTTTTTTTTTTTTTTTGGGGGGGGGGGGGGCGGCAAAAATGCATTTTTTGTTTCGCCCCCCACACACTCACACACACACTTTTTCGTTTAGGAGGGCGACCACCCCCCCCCCCCCCCCCCCCCCAATTCGGTGCCTATGTTTGCCACTTTCCGCCCAGGTAATTTAGGCATTTAGGCTAATTGGGTACCCGGTAGCAAGATATTCTTGCAATGTCAGTGCGCCGAACGCCTTACCTGGGCCGCTTGGCTAATGCCGGGGAAATGATAGTACAGCGCTTAGAAACATAAGTATTTAAAATATATGAATGTTACTATCATTATTCTTATTATCATTAAAAGGAATGAAAAGTCGATGTGTAGGTTTATGACACGCCCTCAACGATTTTATCTTCTCGTTAAAACAATTCAACTGCATTTTCGACTTCAACGACAGCATTTCACTGAAGTGATGAGAAAAACATCATGACTGAATATTGTTTTTGAGGACCAAACTTCCTTGTATCCAGAGAATCCTGAATTATGGGGATTTCTTTAAAGTCAAATATGGAGGCATAGAGGATAGTTGAAATATTCATTCATCCATAATCATTACATGTCGAATCATAAGCTTGAAAGAAGTTAATTTATTTTGGTCTTAGCTCAGTGAAAATTTCACATAGGTAATACAGTAATGTAGGCAATTACTATCAGCATCAATGCATTGCATTTGTTTGTGTACGTATGTAAGCAAGTTAGTAAACAAAATGACAGCAGTGACGGCATTAGTAAGAATTATACACACAAGGTACCTTCTAACAGGAACAGTCTAACACGCCCGATGCGATAGCCGAGGGTGCTTGGACAGTTTTGGAGGTACCGAGTATGGGTAATTTTTCTAATGCCCGAACAAAATGATGTGCGTTATTTGTTTTATAAGATTATGCATGGCCCTAAAGAGGATTTTTTTTCCTATTGGGAACCGGGGGAAAATGCAATGAATTATTGATAATTTATTGCATTTT